GTACGTTTTTATTGAAGTTAATGTATATATTTGATGACGCAACTGTTGGTTTTCGAATGTTTTTGAGCGCGGACACATGGTAATGCATATCGTGTATAACAAAAAATTTTATAAAATTTTTAAATATTTTATAGATTATATTAATTTATATAATAATAAATTAATCATATTAATTTATAAAGATAGATACGTAGTGAACGATTAGGCGGATAACTTGAGGTCTTTGACCACAAACAGTCCAAGCTCCAAGGTTTATCAGGTTTCTAGTCCTTGAAATCTGCAAGACCTAGAGTATGGGCTCTAATATAGAACTATTAGATTTGATCACTAGCTAATTTGTATTCCTTCACTATCAACGCATGTATGTAAAGAAACTGAGAATTGGAAGAACTTTTCTTCTTTTTTTTCTCTCTTAAAATTCGGCCACCTATGAATTTTTAGAGCAAAAAATTCTCTTCTCTAATTTTCTATTGTCTCCTATTTATGGAATACTAGGATAACCTATTTGCTTTAACTTGAAGACAAAAGAATAGAAAATTGGTTATTGCTATATTTTAATATCATTAAAATACAGTTTCCATTTTATTTTGGAAACAAATTTTTCCTTCCTTTTTACTACATGGTCGGCCACACCACAAGGAGACCTCCTTGTGGTTGGAGCAAATCTGAAGCAGGAGAGAGAGAAAATTCTTCTTTTATCAAGTTTCTAATTTTAGCTCAAATTCAAATCTAAATGAAGTCATACTTCACTTTTCTTTTGAATTTGAGTAGAAAAACTTGTTAAACAAGTAAACCGGATATATTGGAGAGCAAACAACTGAACCCCAGTGGGATTCTACCTATTTCACACACCCCCTGCACTCCCTGTGTCTGGGAGTGTGACCTCTTGTGGTCCCACCACAGTGTGTTCTAAAATTAATTTAATTAAATAATCACACTATTTATTTCGAGTGATATTAAATTCCGATAATTCATCTTATCTTGTAAATATTACAAAGATGACGCGGGGACTTATGGATCTATAAATCTTAGCTCTAATAAAATTAATAATTAATTAAACTCTTTAATTAATGAATTAATTCTATTAACGATAAAAGTTACTCCACTAAAAACTTAGAATTGCACTTTTGAAATTACATATATAATTTACTTCTAAGAACTTAAAGTGTCCATTCGATATAGTCACTACATATATATCAATCCTCCATAAATAATTGATAATTAGAACTAGGTAAATTATGTTAACCTCTCTAATTACATCTTTATCCTTGAGTACCATTGATTCTTTAATGAATAGTATATTCATAAAACATATTTATGAATACGAGCTTTTTACTTATTCAAGTGCTGAATCACCCTCAAGGGAATAATACCTGCTTCTTTATTCAAGAAGGAATGGATTCCATCTCGCATATTAGCATTCCCGACTATTCATTTTATCATGTTTCTAAGATACAATGAATATGATTTAGGATTTCAAAATCCGTACCGAATAAGTCAAAAAACACGAATCTATAAATAAGAGTCTACTAATAACTTAGGATTAAGATCATATATGACCATTGATAAACTCAAATTTGATTTTTTATACTTAACAGAAATTATCAGAATATCAAATTGTGTCTGTGTCCCAGTTCTACATAATCTCATTATGCATAATACACTCATTCAATATCTCTCTATATTAATGATACGGATAACACCATTCCATTCTTAACGGAAATGACATGTATTAGTAATGTTTTATTTAAAGATTCTGTAACTTTAATTAAATTCATTACGAATATTATTTCGATTATTATCCTTAAATATTATCCTCTCATAAATAATACTTATATACAATACTTAAGGTCAAATAAATAATCGTGAAATTTTCAATAATATTCATAAAGTATTCAATAATTCATGCACATAAATAATGAATAAACTATTTTATTAATTAAATAATAAACATCATTATTACATCTCATGTTTTAAAGACATTATTCCTAATAGTTACGTGATAAAAATCTAATTTATTATAACTATTGGATCAATATTTTATGACTAAAATAACGATTCCAAGTAAATAATGGACTAACCAATAGGGGGTTATACTTAAATGAAAGGGTAAACAAAGCCCTTTATTTGTTCATATTTTGGAATGATTAATTGCACTCGTGGATGAAGCCAATTCGATATTTATCTCATTAGTGATTGATAGAGGGTGTTCTATGATGTGGCTGGTCTACAGGTTTATTTTTTTTAATTTTCTTAATTGTTATTATTATCTTCATAATTGACTGGACTACATGTTGTCTTAAGAGATAGAGATTTAAACTTGGCTTAAGAAAAGTACACTTAGAAACGTAGGACCTCAATCATAGTCTCTTCAGCTATCCTTTAAAATTCGAAGCAAAAAGACTGATAACAAAAGTTAAAATCACCATATATTTCCATTGCATCAATTTGTGGATCCCAAAAATGAGCTATTTTCCTCTCATGTTAGCTGCCCCCTCACATAAAATACCACATAGATAATTCAAATATATTTTTATTTTGTTTTTATTTTTATATCTTGATCAGTAATAATTTTCTCTAAAGACTACGGCCATTTGATTTATACGTTTAACTCAGTGATTTTGATTTATTAGTCGAAACTCTGTGAGATAACTATTGACGGAAATTATTTTATTTAATTTTTTTTAAGAGTAAAATACTATAACAAAATCATGATCAATGGTTTAAAAACATCAACCAAACAGGCCCTATATGTTTTCTTTTTTTCTTTTTCTTTTTTAAAATCAGATCTATCACTCCATCAGATTTACATACCCCTTAATTTTTGTTATTTATGTTTAGAAGCACTCATTTACGTACGTATCCTGACTTACATAAAAAAAAACTCCTTAAATAGCGTGGTCCGCTTTTAGTCTATTGTAAAGTGATGACAACCATGAATACAATGAAACTGAAAATAAGACAAGATTTGTATCTAAGCTGTATGAATTATCTTTTTATTTTTAATTTCTCTATTCTGTTTTTTATTTTAATGTAAGCAAGCACTCGTCAAGAGAACATTTTTTTTTATTATTATATAGATTCTTGTGGCCGTAAGACAAATGAATATTTGTATGGAATTTGCAGCTTTTATAAAAGTGTTGCCACTTAAGTTGAAGATACATGTGCAACTTAGAATAAAAATTAGGAAAAATTATGCGGCATGCTGCATCCTCATTGCTATCACATGCATGTGTATAGTTTAATTTTTAATAAAGGTACTATAACAATATTATACAATATTGTAGGGCCTAGCCTTATGCAAAAACGAAAATAATATAATATAATATATATATATATATATAATGTGATTTTTTTTTCCTAATAAAGAACTCTTATGAAATCACCTTGCATCAAATTTAAGCAACTGAAGCTCAACAATTTATGAAAGTGAAATTTGGGAACTTATGGTCGTGTTTAAGGTTCATCTCGTTTTTATTTTTCACGTTTTTCGAGAAAAAAAAATGAAAATGTTTTCAAAATAGCGTTTGACGCAATAAAGATAAAAAATAAAAATGAAAACGATTTTTTTAGTTTAGTGTAAAATGAGAGAGAAATGAAAGTCGTTTTTCATTTTTTATTTTTATTTTCTCCTCTCGAGAGCAAATAGAGAGACATTGATTAGTTTTTTATACTGAAAATAATTTCTTGATAAAACTACTAAACGTATTTTTAAAAATGAAATCTGTCTAAGATTGAAAACGTTTTTATTTTCATTTTGATACAAAAAAACAAAATCAATTTAGAACGAGCTCCAAACGCGCTCTTTATTACACCACAAAATCAAAGAAAAAACAAATTAAAGAGTTGGGAGGATTATATAGCTTTAATTGTACGCCAAAGAATTGGAACAAAGTGGAGCACCAAAATCATAAGAAAATTGGCGATAAGAGCTTGGAAAGGGCCATAAAGGTTCAGACAAACCATGATTCTCAGAACAGAAAATTCCATCAGCAAAGTTGTTTAATCCAACCAGGAAAAAGAAAAAGAGGGGGGAAAAAAAAAAGAAGAAGAAGAAATGGAAATGATATTGATTACTACGACCGACCTTTGACTCATATGGTCCCATTACTTCTGTTTACAAAAGACAGACAACTCAATGAGACCCACAAATCTACAAAGGACGATGAGCCTTCAATTTCGTATAATATTAACTCAAGCACAGAAAAGAGACGCCATCGACCTCAGAAAAAGAAAAAAAATAATTATGAGTTGTTTGGTTGGGAAATTTGTACCCCGATTTAAATTATAATTCGGGATTCATTATAGTATTTTCTCTCATAAAAAATATACATAAATTAAAAATAATTCTAATATCATAATTATAATTCATGAACCAAACATCTCTTTAATATGACCCACACCATGAGCTTCAAACCTGTAAAAACTATCACACTTCTCTTTCCTTCTTAATTGAAGTACCCTGCCCCACTAAAAGATAGAGATGGAATATTTCCCTTCTTTTCCTTTTTGTCTTTTTTTTTCTCTCTCCTTTCTTTTGAAAATTCTCAATGGCTATAATTTTAACATAGATCCAACGATTATACATATGTGATTGCTTGTTATGAATTTAGCACCGAAAAAAAAAAAAAAAAAAAAACATACATATATATATATATATGAATTTACCACCAAAAAAATAGGGAGAAATACATTTTATATAATGCTATCAAGAAGCGATACTACATAAATTTGTAAATAAAATTCTGCAAGTTAAGAAGATCCATAACCGATTGCAGTAAAGAAAATGACCAATCAATGTAATTATGCATCCAAACAAAATCCAGGATCAAAAACTTAATTAATTACTTTATTAGCTCTACACAACACATTACTAACGTTTTAAACATTTTCGATGAGGGCATCACCATGATCTATGTACAAAAGCTCCTATTTTCTCTTGGGGTTTTTTCACCTTACAAAAGTTTTTTTTTTTTTTTTTTTTTTTTTTTTTTCTTCCCTTTTTTTTTTTTTCCTTCCATCTCCATTAATCCCTCAAAATATTCTTGGGAATCCTCTCCTCGAAGCAGGTTTTTTTTTTCCCCCCTCAAAAAATAACACAAGCATTAGGATTCTCTTCCATGCTTTGCACATAGTAATATGTGGTCATGTGGGGGTTGTATGCTCTATAAGCCTTGACAAGCTCCAAGACGGGGTCGGGCGGAGGCTGCGCTGGTGCAGGTGCAGGTGCGGGCGCAGGTGCTGCCTCTTTCTTCTCCCCTTCCTTGGCAGCCTCTTCCTTCTTTGGCTCCTCCTTCTTGTCCTCCTCTTTCTTTCCCTCTTCTTTCTTGGCCTCCTCCTTCTTGGCTTCCTCTTTGCCTTCTTCTTTCTTCGGCTCCTCTTTCTTGGGCTCTTCTTTTTTCGGCTCCTCCTTCTTCGGCTCCACTGCTGGCCCGACTGAGATTATGTCTGTAAAAGGCCAGTACTTGCGGAGTTTGCTCACTACATTTACAGGATCTACTGTTCCTACCACTGTGAGTTTCTTCTCCTTCATGTTCATTGATATGGCATCAATTCCTAAAAAAGGATTAGACAATTTAAACAACCAACAATTAATGGAACTCTTTCTTCATTTCCTCACTCCAATACTAATTTCACTTGCATAAAAAAAAAAAGAAGACACAAAATAAAAACTCTCACATTATAAAGAATCACATTGTTGTTCTTGCCGTGAGTTTGTTTAAATCTTTTTACTACGTTATTTTCTCTCATAAAATATACATTTTTGTTCAAAGGTAAATTTCATACTATACTTTACACTTTCATGTGGCAGTACAGCAATACTAAAGAAAAAAATGACACAGTAGTGCTCTTAAACTATTGTCAAAGATTACTATACTCCTTATCCTAAAAGAAAAGAGTGCTGTACTATTACATAATAATAATGCGTAGAATTTCAGCAATAATATTAACAATGTTGTATAGAGCTTACATAGACGTGCTTGTATTTTTTTTTTTTTGGGTGTCAATGACATTTAACTTACGATGATATTTGTTTCCATAAAAAAAATAAAGAAATTAAAGAAAGAAAAACTTGTGCTCGCATAGTATACATAAGGACGATTATATATACATATATATATATATTTATATTGTATGATTGCAAAAAAAGTTGAGTCATGCCATAGAAAGAAAGCACCAAGCACTAGAAGCTAGCTAAGCCTGCACAATCACAGACGAATTTCCACCACGTAGTCATCAGAAAAAAGGTACACAAGACAAGTCACCACGCTATACAGTTGTCGATCTGTGTATATGAACACTTTGCAACAGATTGCTGTAATATTTCTCTACAGACTTAACTAAACCATTAAATGACAAAAATAGCCATCGAAAGAAAAAGGAGAAGCAGAGTTTTATTTTGTTTATTATTATTATTATTATTATTATTATTATTATTGAGAAAACAAAGTTTATGATTGTTTGTCATGAGCTGCATAAATGAATAAGAACAAAAAGATCTCATTACATGGTCTTGTGAATTTTTAAACATTTTCCTTCCACTGTCCCTTTTCAAAACCAAATGGGTTACGAACAAAATTCTTTGTACCCAAGCACACAAATTTGTTGTATTCATTTTCTCGTCTTTTCAGGAAAACACTTATTACTTTTGCCAAACCAAAAATTAAAAGGAAGATTTTTTAATGTACCTGACGTATCCGCAATTCAGACTTTTTCAACCGTTGTATTAAATCTACAAAATCCCTATAATAAGGACGTAAATAAATCATTAAAAATAATCGAATACCTGAAAGAGTAGAGACTGTCTTCAAAGCTTTCTGCTTGGCTTTGTCATCATTCAAATCCAACTTTAGTACGACCTTCTGCAGAGAGAAAAAAAAAACGCAAACACGATTAGATCTACACAATATAAGATCTAATATATAGAATCAAAGAAAAGTTATATCTTTGTTACCAATATAAAAGGTAAAAAAGATCAAAGATAGATTAGAGAAGTAACAATATATAATATTAAAAATCATCCACACACACATTAGAAAACTTTTTTCGTTTTGAAAACATCTCAATGATAATACTCGTAGAATTTATTCCCAAACAGAGAATCGGAATGAAACTAGGGAAAGCCATGAACCAGTTAGCTTAATATTCCTTGAAAAGGGAATCAAAGAGAAAGAAATGAAAAGGGAATTAAAAAGGAAAAGGAAAAAAAAAACAAAACAAAAGCAAAAACCAACAAAAGTAGTTGAAGAATCTGGACCGGGAAAGGAAACACTGCTAATAAAAGACTGAACAGGAGATGGGAAAATAGAAAAGTGGGAAATGAATCCTGACCTTCATTTTCCAATGCTTCTCTTTTTGATCTTCTTCTTCTTCTCACAGAGATATTCAGAAGAAAACCAGAGAGAGAGAGAGAGAGAGAGAGAATGGGAAATACAGAAAACAGGGGATAAAAGCAATGGGTTGAAAAAGAGAGAGGCCAAGACGAAATCAAATAATGATGCTCACCAACAAAAATAAAAAATAAAAATAAAAATAAAAAGATGGTGATGGACTGATGGCTTGGACAAACTTTTGGTACCAGAAAAAATCCGAATCAAAACAAGAAATGCAGAATAGGAGAGAGAAAGTGAGTGCTACGAAAGAAAAAGTTAGAGAGAGATGGGTATGAGAAGAACTCTTGTTGAAGAGGAGTAATCAGTGAAGTCTCTCTCTCTCTCTCTTTCTTCATGGTCCTTTTGAAGAGTGGACATGCAGATGAAAAACGACATTGCGTTTCTGTGTACTGCCCACGCCCGAACAGCAGGGCGTGGGTGACACGCACACAACTTGTGTTTTAGGTTAGATCCAGGTGGCTATGGACTTTCACCGTTTCTGTTGAATCTTCTGTTCAGTTCAGTTTGAGGGGTGTTTTTCAGCTATGGAAACTGTACTACTTTTTTTTGGGCACATGGTTTGAAGGGTACTTTGTACTACATCATGTAATACTCCAAAATAGAGATAATAGGCTTGCCAAAAAAGACTGATGAGAGTAACCCTCCTCAAAAATAAAATTTAAAAATTTAAAAAATTAAATTTAAAAATTAGAAATTAAAAACTTCGGGAGTTAATCTCAAATTTAGCTATTGAAAAATAAGTGCTGTTTGATTTTGTCTTTTATAACTTAAAATTTGGGTGTTTCTACTGTAAGCTGTCAGTACACATTTTTTATTGTCAAATTTAATTTAAATCACATCAAATAAAAAAAATATAAAATAAATAATTTTTAATACAGACAATTAAAATATAAAAACTTATCAATAATTCACTTTTTGATGTCCTGCCGTAAAAATCTCCTCAAAATTGATCATAAACTCCTCCATATTCATTATAAATTACAATTTTGGTACTTAGAGTCTCATTATAAAAGGGCAATTGTTTAACCATTCTAATGAGTATGGGTCATTGGATAAGCACACGTAACTAAAAGCTAAAAATTTACATGATGAATTTACAGAAATTGAAATTTATTATAAATTTATAGCAGAACAAAATGATATTTTTTTTTTCAGGGAATGAAATTTAAAATTCATCTTCTTTTAAATGGCATCATTTCAATGACATAGAAGTATGTCCTATCCGATAAAACAAAACACTTAAAATAGTTCATAAATATTGTAGTTAGTATATTTTTATGCTTAATATTGAAATATTTTAAATTTTTTAAAGAGTTAAGAAGGAAAATAATATATTTAGTGGGATGTTTAATAAATTATAGGATATTTTTTAAAATAGTCTATTATAGCAAAATTTGATATTTCAACTTTCAAATATTAAGGTAATTTGTATAAATAGTCATCAACCTCTTTAGTAAGTGACAATTTAGTCTCTAATTTTTTTTTTTAATAAATCAACCTCAATCTTTTTAAATAGGTACAATTTAATTATTTTTGTCAAATTTTTAACAAATTACTGCATGTGAGCATCACGTGCCTTTTTTTTTTTTCAATTAAAAGACAAAAATACCATCAAAACCTCACACTCATGGCCTTCTTCAACCTCTTCTTCTTCTTCTTGTCGCAGCTATTCCTTCTTCTTCAAGAGAGAGATGGAGAAGGATGACTGGAAGGCAGCGACTCGTAAGATACGCATTGAACAGTACAGCGCTGCCATTTGGTTTTGGCGCAAGAAGTAAGTACAGCTTTTGGCTGATTAAACGTATTATCCCACCATCTCCACAAGTCAACCACAGGTGAAAGTAATCGTATTCAGTAGATTCAGATTCTGATTTGTTTGTAAACTTATTTTATTAGACTAGAAAGAAATCCTTGTGGGATTGGATTGCGTGTGATTGGTTGCAGTGTATTCATTTGTTGTATATAATTGAATCAATATTCTCATTTCCCTTCCAGATTGCATATTGATATGTTTATTCTCATTTCCCTTCCATATTGATGTGTCAATATTCTCATATTTCCCTTCCAGGTTGAAGAAGAAGGAATAGCTGCGACAAGAAGAAGAAGAAGAAGGCCATGGGTGTGAGATTTTGATGGAATTTTTGTCTTTTAATTGAAAAAAAGATTTGCACCCGTTTTAAAAATGTTGTGGGTCGATTTATCAAAAAAAATAAATAAATAAGAATCAAACTTTCATTTACTAAAAGGTTGGAAACCATTTATACAAATTACCTTAAATATTATTAAAATTTTAAAAATACTCACAAGTCTCCTTTCCACCTCTATCTTCTTCTCTCTATCGCCAAGTCCACCAGGGCCGGCTCCAGCAACCGACGGCCGTCTCTGGTGATTGGTAAATACCGTATTTTTTAGTAAATATCATATTTATTGATAGATATCATATTTATTATATTAATTTAAAAATTCATCTACTAATTCTAGAGATTGATAAATACCATATTTATTGATAAATATTATATTTATTAGTAAATACAATATCAATAAAGTAGCTTGTGACTGCTAATTACAATATTTACTCAAAATCCTGTATTTACTAGACACTCAAGTCACCGGCCGTAAATCCGCCATCATCATTGACCAAACAAACATAATTTCTCAGAAAAAGAAACACAAACAAACATTAGGCTCCCAAAACAGGAACTAACGACATCATCCACACAAATAAATAAATAAATAAATAAAAACAAAAACAAAAAACAAAAAAAAAAACAAAAAAAACAAACTCAGAGATTCCAAAATCACACACTCATATGCGAAATCTCAGCTGAATCTGGTTCGAGATCCCCACCGGAGAAGGTGGCGACGATCGCAACATCGTTGTCCCGAGTCACAATCGACACCTGACGGCAGCAGCGTGAGGCTGAAATCGTGATCAAAATGAGTTGTTGCACAACTCCGACAGTTAAAAATCTGCATAAAAATAACCAAAATACGCAGTCGAAATTCGTGAGAAAGGCCACATCATCAGAGTCGGATGTCAGATCTGCACTTCTAAGGCGAGGTGCTCACCGACGTTCACTGAAGGAGATCTCGAGGGACAAAGCTCTGACCAAAGCTGATAATTTTGTAGCGACAAAATATCAAAAATTAGACAAAGTTGATTTTTTTTTTTTTTTATAAATAAAAATCCTCGTGATGGAGCGTGTTCTGTTCAATGACGCAAATATCGTGTTTTCTAACCTTTTGCCTCTATGAAAATTCATCAGCTAACACGATCTATAAGTGAATTATATATAAATATTAGGATTACAGACATAGTCTAGTGATAAGTTCATACCCCTACATCTAATGTCGAAATTCAAAGTTCGATATATTCATCCACCTTAGTACATATATATATATATATATATATATATATATATATAGTCCCGACTTTACATGTTCAAATATTAACTATGAAATTCTAAATTTCAAGAGAAAATAGTATCAAACTTCTAAAGAATAGAAATATTTATATTTTTTTATACAAATTCTTAGTATTTTAAAATATTAGAGGGATAGATTTTTATATTTTTCTTAGTACCAATAGAGTAGTTTATTTTTAGCGAGTTTTCATCTAAACTTTATGGTGTTTGCGATTAATTTACATTGCTATTGGAATTTATTAATGTAAAATACATGTTTTGACAACTTGTTGTCCTTGGAATGTAAAATAAATAAATAAATAAATTACATTTGGTCACAAAACTAACAATTATATTTACGCAAACTTATTTTATTGAAAAAAAGGAAAAATGGCGCGGAGGAGCAGCCTAGTTTTGAATGTTATGAAGCATAGTTGAGTAATTATTGAAGTAAGTCTTTAACATATATGTAATGACTTTTATGATAAAATAGTTAGAATACAAAATATCTTATATGAATTAACAAAATAGCGTAAGCTTTTTAAAATAGTAGTTTAAATTTATTAAATAGCTATTGTATAGATATTTACATTTACAATGAATAAGAAAAGTTGAACAACAAATGCATATTGTTGTTGCATTTGCTCTCTAGTCTAATTCTCGCTCACTTGGTTCTGATTATTTGACATACTCTTTCTCTATTACCATTGAATTCTACATATATTTAAAGGTAAGAATTTTTGGTAAGATAAAAAGACTACTCTATCGTTAGTTCTTAACCATGAAATTCTAAACAAATTTATGATTTAGATTTGAATCATTTAAAAAATAAAAATTCTATTCAAATCTATTAACCAAAGTACTATTAATGAGATTTATATATATATATATATGTGTGTGTACGCGCGCATGTGCAGATGAGTTTTAAATGGTTATATTTTCATAAAACAGGTTCGAAGAAAACGAAATGTAGAAATAAGCAAACCATTCAATAAGATTAAAAAAAAAAAAAAAAAAAAAAAAGAGGTTTACACAAATACGAATAATTGGAGATCACAGACGAAGTCACTAACGAAACAAAAGAAGAATATAAAATTCAAGAATTAAGATTGTGCGCAATAACATTGTCGGTCCTCTTCATCGAGAAAGAGCAGGACTGAAAACCTCAAAAACAAGTCGCAAAACCTCCAAACATAAGTTCTCAATCTTTAAAGTAACCACACTATGATTAATACGTATTCATCAAAATTTTGGAATCCCCATCAACAGCCCCAACATGGAACAAACCTCAAAGCACACCTCATTCTTAAAAGATAACACAACGTCTAAAACATTGGAGGCAGCCAAAGAAAAGTCATCACCACGAAAAGTGTTGCTCGGTTGCATTGCATTAATCACATTCTTCACAAAGTTCAATTCATCCCTACCTAACTATGAAAGAGTCCCACCTACAAGCAATTAACAGCAGCACAAACAACACAGCCACCGTAAAGCCCGATGAACAACATATAAATAAATAAATAAATATTGGGCAGTCATAAACTACATTGACTCCCAAGAAACCAAAAATTGAAATCGTATTCGTGTATGATTCGATTTTGATATGATTTGACTGATGATCCAATGATTCGAAAGTGTATGAGTACAATAAATATACACTACATAAAAAAGACCTTAATAAATCTTCTTGAATTAATGAATTGGAGAATTTTGTAGCAAATAAAATATGGAAATATAAACATAATGGTAGGACATGGTCGGGTCAAATATCAATATAATTTTAACTTGTCGGATTATATTAGAAATATATCAAAGTAAATAAAGTAAAGACTCAAGTGAGGATTTAACTGTTAAAAATTGTCATATCGTATGTTTACCTTACTAAAAACTTA